AAATATTTCCTATAAGTACGGTGCTTCATATGGGTTATAGTGGTATTGTGCTGCATTGGTAACATTAGTATTACAATGCCATAACCGGGGAAAACGCTTGCATACTTTGACAACGAGTTCGATTCGATGATACGGTAGCAGCAATACCTGTTGTTCAATATCCGTTACTAGTGCTATATATTTAATATTGCTGCATTTTTGATTGATAGAAGCTCACATTGGTTCGAATCTGAGTGGATCGAAATTATTTTTATGTTAGTAAGCTACACAGCAAACTGGCTATTGTCTGTTGATTTTCCTGAAATACTGAAAGAGGGGCATATTAGATTTTCTTCCACTCTACCCAAAAGCTGCAAGACTAGACTTTATATGAACTTTTGTATTTTGTGCCATTAAAATGAATACTAATCATGTTATAAACATAGTATAATATTGGCGTTCTCAGCTGCATACTCTGTAAATTAAAATGATAATTTCAGTTTAATCTGGTTCGTTTACATTGACCTTTAACATGCAATATAATTCCATGAATGCTTGAATGGGCAGTTCTTATTTAAGACAGGCGATTCCTGCCACTGACCATTTCTAAGATTAAGCATCATAAGTTTACAGTTGTGTTCTTTTATTTTATTTATCACATTTGTGAAATAACAGAACTTTTCGTATCATTACACTATAGGTATATTTACGTAACATAAATAAGAAATATTACATACTTAACGATTAACGCAAATTAAAAGCGTATGTCGTGCTTTGAGGGTACCTGTGGTATATAAAATGATGGGTACCTGTGATATAAAAAAATTCAAAAGCAGAGAGGTAGCCCGAGTGCCTCTGCAAAACCGAAAGTAGGGGTGTTTTTATGAATTGGTAAAATTTTATTTTTGAACAATTTAGTGGCCATTTGGTCCGAAAGATAATATAAAAATGAAAGGTTAGCTTTTAAAAAAGCTAGTAGCGACTCGCTTCGTAATTTTTTCCAAGGGGTATGTTTAAAATGTAAAATTGACAGTTCTTTAGCTGAAAAGACTTCAGCGAATATCAAAATAAAAGTGACATATAAAGTTATGGAAGCCAGTTTCACTCAGTTTAAAAGAGGAATATGCCGTATATGAGTGAAAGATGCATGTAAGAAGAAGTTCCTAATGTTCTATGCCATTTACTATATGGTCTGTTGACCTTGACCGAAAAAAAATGTAAAAATAGGCAGAATTCCAATAAAGGTGTCTCCTTATACGAAGTTAAGGTTGTAATATGTTATTTAGTATGGAATGAGTGACAAGAAACAAGTCCTAATACAGGACTAATAAATTACTGAAGAAATTCTCTTGGGTGTTGGGCGAAATTTAGAATTCATGGGGCATGAATTAACATTTGAAGAATTTGTACAAAGTTCTCAAGGCATTGGTACATATTCAATATTTAAAAGCTGGGAGGATTGATGCTTATATAAATAAGACTTTAAACATATTTTCCCTAAGCATGTTAATAACAATAATGTCCATTTCATCTTGGTATGTAAAAACATTTTAAAACAAATGGATATGATGTAGATACATGAACAAATTTTTAAAGTGGTCAACAAGGCAATACCACATGCCAAATATTTAAGGTTTATGCATTAATAAGGTATAAAAGTGTGCGTATGTGTTTCTAATATAAGACGTGTCCTTGACCTATGTGTGTGTAGAACAATATGAACAACTATGAAGGAGGACTCCTGATGGTATTTAGATATTATAGCGATCCGGGCATTACCGCTGCATGTCATATTCAGAAAAGCCGGGATCGTATTAACCCATTACGCGATATACACGCCTTTAAACGCCTTTTTTTACCCCCCCCCATTTTTTGTCTCAAATGGTGAAAAAATGCCTTATTTAGGCCCCAACACTTGTTTTTGGTTGAGAAATGTTGTTTAAAAAAAAAGTTACCACTTTTCGGCGCGGCCCCCAACCAAAATATACATCAGGGGGTTCCAGAAGGGGGATGTGCCCCCTCTGTTTGTGGGGTTTGAAGGAGGGGGCGGGCAGTCCCCCCATCGCCAAAGAATAATTTTGAACTTGTGACAGGCTATAAAAATGACCGCAGATCGATCATTAATGTAACGTGTAACCAACGCTGAAAAGCATTTGACTCTATCTCAATCCATTAAGAAGTTGCAGCACTTTTGAAATCAATTTTTGGATGGAAAAAATCTTTTTTGTTAATCAATTATGTTAAAGTATAATCTTATGAGAGATTTTTCTAAAAGTACTATTTAAATACGTGAACAATAAAAGTTAGCCAAAATATTATATTAACAAAACTTCAATTAGGCATATTATTACAAGTATGCGATTTCCGCATTTTAGGTTTTTTAAAATAAAATAGCTCTAAATATATTTAAATCTTAAGTAAAAATTTTATTTACCATTCATTACATACAAAAAAAATAAAAAGTTATCGTTTAAATTGCCTTTCATTACGACAATAATTAACACAAAATATAGTTTATTCCTTTTTCCCTATATATCTAATACATCTCGATCCCGGATGTCCCGGATCCCGTGATTTTCCCTCACCCTAAATACCGGAAAGGATAAAATGACTGGAAAAAAAGAAAAAATAAAAAAAAAAAATACAAAAAAAAAAAAAAAAAAAAAAAATACACAGAACCAGATGTACACTTTTATGTTAATTAACCAAACGAAAACTTACTACAGAGAAAACAGGTGAAAATCGCTAGATCAAAAGGTCAGTGTAAATATGATTTATTGAAAAGAATTCAATGAAAAACAAACAATTTTTAATCATTCATTATATCTTTGCGCTCAAAAGCAATACTTGCTGCTTTTTTAAAAAATGGCGTGAATATTGAAGGTTTTTTTGACGCAATGTAAGATTAAATTTGATTGGCTAAATAATTTTGGATTCCAGCCCTGACAAATAAATTTTGTAGAAAGCTGGAAGGCCAAGCTTCGATTAAATTTTTGGATGGATTCGGAGTTTTAGGTTGTTTCTCAGTAAAATCCTAACGTAATACCGGCTCGCCGTGGCGAGCCGGCGACATATGAAATATGTATGATGCATATATAATCAAGCCACAGGTTCATTTCAGCCCGAAAAATAATGTCGAGGTGATGGGCGAGGCAAGACATGTCGATTTTTATAGCTTATTCTGAAGTTGCAGTACTTGAAAAACGGGCACATGACAAATCAGCACATAAATAAAACATTCTAGTGTTACGTGGTATACATCTTTTCCACGTGCCATACCTCCTTTCCTTTTTACAATGAAATTTTACTAGATTGTTATCCATCGCTGGTTTGTTTTTAGCAGAGAATGATCTGTGCATTTGCAAAGAGGGTACCGTTTGAGCAAATTTCGCAAAGAGGGTACCGATATGGATATGCACCGTGTTTTAACGAATGTCACCCGTATACATTAAGGTTATAATGTACACCATAAAATATTCTTTATTTTTTTGTTTTGATAGACAGCAGTTTTTATAGTTTTGTCATATAATCTTTCCGGGAATCTAAAGTAGGTCTACAATCTTTAAGTAAATCCACCATTTTTACTTCAAACAAATGACATGCCATAGTAGTCCTTAGTACAACAATGGGTTAATTAAAGAACACGTTCCTGACATTTTGCCTGTTTACATTTTTTTTCCCAATATGTTACTAGAGAAAAAAAATGTTTTGATGAAATATTGCGAATAATATTAACCAGATGTTTGAAAAAGCTGATAAGTTTGATCCATTGATGGTATCATTTTAATAGGTTCATCAAATTTGTAATGAAAGGGAAGTAAACACGAGTAAAATGCTTTCAATGTTTTGTAAGAGTTATATAGATCTTTATATATCCTACAATTTTACTTAAGAAAAATATATTAGATTGAAGCAGGTGTAGTTAAGATTGCAGTATAGAATTGTAATGGCTTATCTAAAGGGAAAGAAGAGGATAAAAAATTCAGTAATACATGTATGTTAATTGTATCTAACTTAGATATCATTATTTTCTGCTAGAATCATAGTAATATAAAATTCAAACACAATTTCTACTGCAAATTTCAAAAAAGAAAAGCACACCGAAATAGTGGTTATATTATTTTGTTTTAAAGAGACTTTAAAGCGAAAAGAATTTCAAAAATTAGAAATCATTTTCACACAATCATATGGATATAGCCAGATAGAAAACAAAATATACAATTTGATATTATAAAAGTGAAGAAATTGATGACATGTGTTGAGTATAGAAACATTACGATTATTTAATGAAGTCAAGACAAATGAAATTAGACATCAGATAATTAATGAAAGAGGCAATATAAATATTTGATAAAAGTTAAACGCAATAGGTGTAAACTGATGCAGACGAGAGAAATTGAAGCGCTTAACAGGAAAAGCCATGTGATTTTTAGATATACTTTTAATAGAAAAAACTCGACTTAACGAAAATATATCTGTGCAAGAATTTTATGACTATTTTAAGAACTAGCATTAACACTACAACTGATCCAGAAAGCGAGAATTACTGCGATAATCAGTTTTGTTATGATGATCCTATTTTCGCGGAATTATATATTCTGTATGAAATGCGCCATGTAATATGGTGTTTGAAATGAGGCAAGCCAGGTGGGAGAGATGACCTCGTAAATGAATATTTCATTGAAACATGTGACATCATATGCGGACATCTACAGGATATTTTTTGATATAAAAGTAATCCAATGGACATTTTCTAAAGTGCTAATTTATACTAAGACGATATGGTATTAACAAGTTTAGATGGCTATAAAATAAATGAAATACACTAAGGACTGTGATTTCACCCAAAATACAATGCTAATTTATTTGATTCATTTGTTATCTCAATTTTAAGTTCCTCTTCTGAACTTTCGAGTTTTACTTAAAACAAAGACATTGAAACGGTACATTTGAAATTTTACCCAAAAATCTAAAATGAAAATGGTTTTTAGAGTACTTAACAGTACTTTTATTTTGTCAACTTTCAAACATAGTACATTAAATTCAATTACGTTCATATTAAATATAGCTCAACGTAATAATTATTCTCTAATGATGTGAGTATAAAGAAAACCTATTACCGAGTGAGTTTTATTCAACATTTCGTTTACTAGAACCAATGTGATTAAACCTTCCTCATCAGTGTGGGCAAATATTCTATTCTATATGAAGCTCAGGTCTTGTATTGTGAAATCGAAATTCTTAAGCAGGGAAAATCCATTAACAAGTTCAGAGTCGGTTGGATTAAATATTTTTAGTCAATAAATTCTTGTTCATCCATTGATAAATTCATTGTCAATTATTTGACGCCTTTACACCCAGGCACTTCTTGCAGATCATACCAGGATTCTATTGTTCTCGGGTTGTTACAACCGTTTGGACCGCCGTAATAATCACGTGACACCCCCTCGCACGTGAGTTCACAGCGGTATTTCTTTAAATACATTTGCATATAATTCTGAATACACTGTGATGCACATTTAATGTTGTCTGAACATTCCTTCCAGTCTGGAATGTAAAACATTACTTTTAAATGAAATATCTTAAAAAAAATAATTCAAAAGAAAAAATCAGAAAATAACAACAACAACAAAACAACAACAACAACGTCAATAATAATAACATTTTTCTAAGGGCAATGTTTTTGCATCCAGGTTTGATATTTGGTGACGGTATATTGGATCATTGCTTATTTTTCTTATATCTTTCAATCTTTGAAACATATACCAAGTTACAGATGAATATTTGCCGTTTTCGATTGTAAAAAAAGGGGTTCCATTGTAGATTTACCGTTATGTTTGCAGACATTTTTCAATGCGGCAATATTTCGATGAAAAAATGTGTCACGATTTCTGCAAGCATATCAACAAGGATACAAGAGCTGCATTGGGAAAATATTTATACCACTGGAATCGAAAAATATTTCTATGGAACATGTTGTACGTTTACTATTCGATTATTGCTAGACCATGCTGTGTCGGCATAAAATTCCGCAGATTTCTTCCTAAGCACATTCTTCTGTAATAAGAGTTTTAGATAAGCAAAAAGCATTTAATTGTAAAATATGTCTTTGAGAAGCCAAGTCTTAGAAGTGCTCTTATTATTGTAAACATTTGTGCTAAGTAATTTCAAAATCTATTGATCTTTGGAAATGTAATGGACCTGGCACAAAAAATACGGAATAACAGACCATGTTGAGCTTTGACCTACAAGTGTGACCTTGACCTTGGAGGTAGGCGTCTCTCTGTCTCACACTTGCCTTTTCTAATGTAACTGGTTAAATACAATAAACATGCCGTTTTTAAATATAGTTGTCAGGTAATAAATATAGATATACAAAACAAAATCTTTTTGTGTTTGAAAAATGTATGATTATTCTTACTTGAATTTCGATGTATAAACATTGTTCCTGGTGTCATTTTGTCATCAGTGTTTGCTAACCAGGTTTCCATTGTACCAAATTAAACCTGACTGATTAGACATAGCAGAGTAACGTATTTAAAATCCTCCATTGTTGTGCCTGAAACTCACTGTGTCTGAGTAATCCCTTTACTACATGTATAACTTTATTGAGCGAATGTTATGAAACCAGGAAGCCTGAAGCCTGGACCTTACGTTTGCTAAAACAATTAACTTTTATAGAATACAGGAAGGAAATTGTATACCTTTGTCAACTATGACAAGGATGTTAAAGGTGGTTCAAAACGCTTAGGTGTCGTGTCATTCCCCTTGTATGTAAGATTTGTGGTAAACATATAAAAAGTAATTTTTCATGAATACTTAAAAACAAAATCCAAACATAATGAACGAAATATTATACATTGTTTGGGTATATCCCCACAATTAGTAAACTAACAATTGCTGTTAAAAATGTGTTACAATACATTAAAGGAAGATACACGAGTCTTTCAATTAAAGTGACATTATGCATATTAATTGCAGGGTAAATAGCAAAATAACTTTTTTTTTTTTATAAATACGCCTGTTTGAAAAACGGGTCGTATTATGGTTCCCCGCCCCTGGCGTGCAGGCGGCTAGGCGGGAGTCGTCCAAGTTTTCATAATTGTTTTTAATATTGTATTTTACGTTACAAAAAATGATCTGATTCAATTACTAACGTGACATACAGAACGTTCTATAAATATTCTTCCTGATTTATGGGTAACCTGCAGTTGATAAAAAGAGAGTCACACGTTTTGTTTTATTTTAGACAGTTTCTATATAGTAGATAGATAGATAGATATTTATTCAGGTTAAAACACACATACATGTATACATAAAACAAACACTTTAGCATTTTATATAAAACTGATGACACAATTGTAATAAAATATTTCGGAAGTTTGTCAGACATAAATATCACAGACGGCTCATTAAATAATAAAATATTATAACTAAAAACAAAATCTAAAACTCTTTCTTTCCTATGACTAGATATCAATTTACTAGTTTAATAAAATGTAAGGACGTAAGTGGAAACATGTATAGAGTAGTGTGCAATAACCTCGGATTGCCCATGAAAGCCCGAAGGCTTATTTCCAATGGGGTCCTTGATTATCCTTGAGTATCCTTATCACTGATCTTTTAGCATTATCTTTTAAAATGAAATATGCAGTTCAACCTAACAATGAAAAACTGAACATTGTCACAATATGAAATATTTACTTTAAGCAAACTTATTGTTTTTTTTATACTTTTTTACCTTGACGTACATCATATTCAATTTAAGACTAATGCAGATAATTAATTATTCTTGAATTATAAGAAAACTTTCACAAAAGATAATGATCCAAAATGTTTAATTAAATTAATTAACCAATTTATTCCAGCCTCATCCATATCCAACATTATATAAATACATGTATATAATCATTCTATCAGAATTGAAAAAGACTGAACATCTAAAATATAACTGTACAAAGATTAAACATAATTTATAGCAAATGTTGAACAAGAATACACACGACTACCACATATGTTATACTATTCAAAGTATACTTGTTTTAGTGACTGTGAAATGATAAGAGTTGTAATTCTATAGGTGATTAAAATATATAGGTGATAAAATATCAAGTTTATGTTTTTGTTCAACCGTGCTGTTGTTTATAGAAATTCGAATCTTCAACGGGAGCGACAGCGACAGGAGAATGTTTCTAATTTCTGCAGAACAGCTATATGTGCATAACATAACATACGTAGTATAAAGCTTTATAGGTTCATTAAATACTCACTTTTTGACGTCATCACTATTTTTACGAATGAAGCACTATGAAAAATAGAAAGCGACTATGAACGGAATTTGATATAGATTTGTATCGACTATTGTTCTTCTTTGAAATATAATACAAATAATACAAATCATTGCACGCCTCCAGATGAGCTAAAATAGTTCAAGAAAACAAAACTTGTGTAAAAAGTACTAAGATTTTTTAAGAAAAGTGAAAAGCATCAAGATAAAAGTAATAAATGTTATGAGCGATTTATGACCGATTTTGCAGTATATTTTCCCTATATTTCTACAGCGTTACTAATGCAGTAAGGGCCATTTTTTGCATATTTTGTCTTTTTTTGGTAACTTACATGGGTTGTTTATGTTTTTTGCAATGTAAAGATTATTTTCTTTGTTCACTTCACACAGGGTCTTTCAATTTGAAAGACCCTGCTTCACAATATTTTATTTTTAAATATAAATTCAAAATTTTCATGAAAATATCCATGAATATGGAGGCGTGCTGCTTTAATACAAACAACGTTCGCTTCATCATATGTAAATTTAAAATTTGAATATCAGGCGCTGGGAATGTTTAATCTATATATCTAAAAATATAAAGTTGTTACCATTTCTTGAAATAACTTTTTACAGTATGTATCATTTAGTTTTTCTTATAAAATGCTGCTTGAAAAAATGATGATAAATTTCCTAATGTTTTAGAATGATAATGATCATTTATCTGATGAATAATATTTTTTCCTTCTAAAACACTAAATCATCTACTACATGAATATAATACATATTTCAATGGCGCCGCTGTCTACCATTAAAGGGACTCCAACGAGGTTTTTTGACATGATGGGTTTGAAAATATTTGTCCGGATAAATGTACCGTTTGATGAAGGTTTAGACCACTAATTATTGTGCAGAATTTCAGATCATTCGCGCACTTTGTTTTTTTCAGAATAACTATTCAAATTGTAAATAAAAAAATGACTCAAAATGAAAAGTGTTTAAACGCTTTTCACTCAAATCGGGCAAAGAAAAGCATAAAAATACGATTTCAATTTTTAATTTTTATCGATCTTTATATATATTTCTGCTTAAAGTGCCCCAGCTCATTTTATGTAAGAAATTCAAATGTTATGTTTTTAGGCTTTTAAACCTCAGTGGAGCCCCTTTAATACAATGTACATGCATGCATATTTCGGAACCGGAATGAACTTCATTGCATTGTATTTACATAAATTATATGTATTGAAGTATGAAACTTCGTTTCATTGTCTTTACATTTATACCTAACGTATACGCTTATAGATGGAACAAATGAAGGTTGCTGACACATATAATTACCAATTTTTAAATGATACATTAAACGTGAACATGCATGCAGCTTTTCGTCATCACAATGGATTCATAAATGTATATACAAAATAAACTTAAAAACAAATTTACATGGTAGCAAAAGTATCTAAATTGAGCAATGGAATATAGATATGATATACACGGTTTGAAAAAAGGTCTATGCTTGGCGTTTTTTTGTTTCATTTTCGTTTGTCATAGGCAGCCAGTAACTTTACTTAAGACAGTCAATTTTTGTCAAAAATTCAAGCCCCGTGCGTAAGATTTTCGCTTTCACAACAAGCTCTGTATCACCAAATACCAATGTAACCATGCTTTTGTTGTCTTCACAGGTTTTACCGTCTGGGAATTCTATTGAAAGAATGCCAAGCTGTTCGCAACCTGGGTCAGTAACAAATTGTGGATGCGGATCGCTGGTACAATAAACGGGTAACTCACCAATTCGTGGATTCATTGGAGTATAAACTCTCCGAACTTCGTGACCAACAGGAATTTCATCACCTACTTCGACAAATTTGTCAAATACGTCTTTAGTAACATTTTCATCTGTATCTGACTCCTCATCCGTATTCGACTGGCTATCGAGACAGCGCTGACTACTGCCAAAGTGCTTACCATAATGTAATTCGTTGTATTCTTCATCTGACCCCGAGCCGTATAATGCTTCGAGATCATCGGGTAAAAAGGCGCCGAAGGATAATTTTTCTTCGTCACTCTCTGAGCAATTGTTTGTTAATGAATAATTATCCTCGTTATCAGAATTAGGAAGTGATTCTTTATCATTTACTCTCACTACTGAAACGCCATATGTATACTTCATCACTCTGGACGACACTACATTAGGCATGTGTCCAAACCGAACCGCTCCTTTCAGTACAGCAAGACCGGCCTCATTGGGTATTATAATAGTTTTGTTCGGTATATTTCTTTTCAATTCCTCGTGAACAAGCTGGCATTCCCCAAACCCACCAACGAGTAATATTCTCTGCACATACTTCATTTTTCTTTCGACAAGGAGGTGTTTTACATGGGCAACTATTTCTTTTATTGGGACCTTAAACCAACCTCGAACAATCGATACGTCGAGTCGCAGTTTATCGCTAGTGAATGTAACTTTGTCAGCTAATCCCATATATCTGACTTTCCTTTTTAAGTCTGAATTTTCGACCTCTTGATATATTTCTCTGAGTGAAGCAGACACCCTGAATGTGATTTTCCCCTCAGAATTCGTTGTTATGTTCCGTTTCTTTATTTCAAATTCTCTCTGGACATCGAAGTAGTCAGCCATTTGTTCTTTTTTAAACCTCTTCATTGTGCCTTCTCCAAAAAGAGTTGTCAGCCAGTCAAAATAGTTCTTGTCGACAGCAGTACCACCCCAAGGACCACCGCTTGCTTTGTGAATTTCTTTAAGAGAGCCATCTGCTTTCTTTTCATGAACTGATATGTCCGCTGTTCCTCCTAAAATATATATGGTAACGCATATAGCCTACACTATTAAAAGCCATTTAGAAAAGTAATGTTCTCTTATTTACGAAGAAAAAATAATAAATGTTTTACCTCCTAAGTCTACGACCATGTACTGGCATCCGACATCAGACACAGACTTTTTAAGATCAGTTGATACCATTTGACACCAAATCGAGGCTGCCTCAGGTTCAAGAGAAAGTTTCAAACGTGTTGAATCCAGTCCTGCCTGTAGGTAAATGTAATTATATGTATGAAAATATCTTTATCAACTACGAATGAAAAATTCTTCTGTGGGCGTCAGATGATTATTGCAACTGTATTCTCTTACCAGTCATCAGACTAAATGCAGTTTTCGTTTATGTTTGCTTTCATGACCTATGCTTGCTTTCATTACCTCCTTCCTATAGAGTAAAAATATCCCTGAAGTAAATGTAAGAATATCTTTACATCAGATTTAAGTTTTACGTCAAAGCTGCTGTTATGTATGCAACATATTACATGTATATAGTTTGTATCTGACCAGTTGGTATTTCCAATATTATCATTGTTCTATTTTTAGAACATAAACTACATGTATGTACTAGAACGTTCTTAACTGTTGTGGAAAACTCATGCATTATATTTAGATAGAAATTTCTGGAATGATCTTTATTGTTGAAGTTGCTAGATTATGATTACTGTAGTAAATGGAAGACTATTCTAGAAACTTCTTAGTTAATATATATATAAGGAGACATTTTTCATTACTCTCTGATCTTTAATCATG